AGAGAGCCAGTGTGTGGTGCCTGGCTCCTGCCCTTTCAACACAGGCTCTTGAAAGCCTCCAGCTGGAGAATGTGGATCCTCAGGGGCAAGGGGGGCTCAACACATCATATTTTATTTTATTTTTTTCAATTTTTATTAATTTATTTTTGTTACAGATGTTTCTCCTCCCCCCCCCAGGCACCTCCTTCCCCACCCCCTCCCCCCGCATTGTTGTCTGTGTCCATTGGTTATGCACACATGCATATAAGTTCTTTGGTTCATCTTATCCATCCCTCTGCCCCCCTCCCTCGAGGTTTGTCTGTCTGAACCCTACTCCTTTCTATGTCTCTGGGTCTGTTTCATTCATCAGCTCACTTTGTTCATTATATTCCACAAATAAGTGAGATCATGTGGTATTTGTCTTTCTTTGATTGGTTTAACACATCATATTTTAAATTTAATCACCTCTGTTTAGGATCTTTGACTTTTATAATATAAGAGAGACTTGCCCACCAGATTCTGAAAATCTTTCCCTCAAGGAGGCAGATATCACGGGGACCCTTCTCCATTCCTTGTGGGGGTCTCGGTGACACATCAGTCTTGTTTGGGACCAGTTCTGTCCCGATGAAAGAAAATTAGGGACACAGTCTCTCCCTGAATTCTGGGCTGGATCTGAGAAGCTCCTTTCGGAGGATAAGAACCAGTTTAGCTCTGCCCCCTCCTAGGACTCTTGTTTGTTTGGAAGGCAGAGGCCCCCTGTCACCACAGGTCACCACCGTCACCGCCCCAGCTCCCAGTTCCGTCCTGTGGCTTGGCTCAGAGCTCCGGTGCTCACTCTTGCTCCTTGACAACAAGAAAACAGGCTGCCATCAGGACTGCGATAAAGTCTCCTGTCTTTCAGGAATTCTTGGCTGTAAATTCTGCTCATGAAGACCTGATTTGTGTGCTTTTAGCTCTCCAAGCTGTGCTCTGTCACCTTAGGTAGAGAGCTCACTGTAAATGTTTTTTATTCTGAGCAGAAGGTCTGAATGTATCTCCTCTTCTGTTAATCCGAGCTTTTGAATGCAACACACCAGTCCCAGCAACCTCCTTGTGTGCTACATAGTTTCTCTGCAACAGCCAGTTTGCAGGGGGAGAAAGGGAACTTTGTTTTAAAATTGATATTTACTTTATCCATGTAATATCCCCAACTTGTAAACTATTTGCTGATCTACAGAATATATTATTTAGAGCAGTTGTTTGAATAATTTATTAATAAATATACATACACATTAAAAAACGTACAGATAGAATGCATGATCAATACATCCTGTATGTATGTATTGATCATGCATGGGAAGTGTCCCTTTCTCAACTTTTTTTGGAAAACTCCAAATCTATAGAAGAGTTATAAGAATAGCATAATGGATAATCTTTTGTTCTTTAAATACTGATTCATATAATAATTGTTAACATTTTACAGATTGCTGTGTTTTGCCTGATGGGGGAGCTGTTTATTTTTGCTGAACCATTGAGAGTTAGTTGCAGACATCATGTTACTTCACCCCTAGATACTTAACAGGCCTCTCTTAAGAACAGGAGCGTGCTTCTCTGTGACCACAGCACAATCATCACACTCAGGAAGCAACACTGAGACAACACTTGAACACGGTGATCAAAGCCAGTCCATATTCAGATGTGGGTTTTGGTAACTTGGAATCCGTGAGTGATCTCCATGGTCAGTCTTTGTGGACCTGCACTTAATGGGTGGCATTTCTCTGTCTCAGTGCTTGCTCATTTCACTGGCTGAAAAGTTACTCAGAGTCCCTTCTCTGGCTGTTGGCCTTTTCCCCTGAGTATTTCCCAAGCTGCATCGGTTGTTCTTACACCTTCTTAACCGCTGGTCCCACAGCGGCTGCCAGTTTCCCCAGATACTGACTCTCACCTGCACGGGAGAGTTCAGATGTCTTGAATTTGTCCAAGCACGTCTGCCATTGACCTCCTCTCTGCCAAGAAAGAGATTTAATTTGTGTGTGTGTTGTAGTAGATAGAAATGAGCTTCCAGTTCAGGTATTTTCCCGAGGCTTCCTCAGTTTATTGAAGTCACACAAGACATTGTATATCTGATCTTCCATCGGGACACCCGGATCCCAAGTCACTTCTCCTCATATCACGTCCTTCCAGTCTTAGAAGAGTTCCTGCAGCCCCACTGACTTCTGCTGGTATCGGGGGAAGCTTCCGAGTTTGGATCAGGTCAGCTTGTGCTCCTTGCCCTGTGATTCTTACAGTCAGCAGAGATGCACTCTAATCTGAGACTACACAAAGACTTGGATCTCTGACAGTAGCTTTTTTTTTTCTTTATTGGTTTTAGAGAGAGAGGGAGGGAGAGGGAGAGAGAGATAGAAACATTGATGAGAGAGAACATCGATTGGCCACCTCCAGCATGCCCCCCACTGGGGATTTGGCCCACAACCTGGGCATGTGCCCTGACCGGGAATTGAACCGGCGACCTCTTGGTGCATGGGTCAATGCTGAACCACTGAGCCACCCGGCTGGGTGACAGTAGCTTCTAAATGTAGTCTGAGTAGGTCCCAACCATTTCAATAAATAATCAGCAGTCCAACACCTGTTGTTAGCTGTATTATTGTTACTTTAAGAAAAAGGAAAAAAGAGAAATACAAACAGGGATTTTACTTATCATGAACATCAATATTGAAAACATTTTTTAAAAATATGTTTTTATTGATTCAGAGAGAGAGGAAGGGAGAGAGATAGAAACATTGATCGATTGGCTGCCTCCTGCACGCCCCCTACTGGGGATTGAGCCCACAACTCAGGCATGTGCCCTGATCGGGAATCAAACCGGGACCTCTCAGTCCATGGGGCAATGCTCAATCCACTGAGCCACACCGTCTGGGCTAAACAACAATATTTTAAAACATTTCTCCCTCATTTCTCTTTCTTATTTCCTGGCTACATGATACCTACACTACCCACTAGTCCTCAGCCCCCCATTCTGAGTTTCTTCTAAAAGCAGCCCCTGCAGCCTCGTTAACACAGACGCTCACCTTTCTCCCCACTGTCTCTCCGCTCTTTACTTGATCACGAAGCTCAGATCTGTCTGTCGGGGAACTCCCACCAGCTGCGGCCTTTCCAGGTCTTTCATGTAAAGGGAAATACAGTAAGTGGACTTCCACGACCGACGTTTCTCCTGTGGCAGAGTATCTTCCAGGTTCATCCACGTTGCAGCGAAAATCGGTACTTCGTTCCTTCTTATTGCCGGACGATGTCCCGTTGTATGGATGATCTGCTCATCGATGGCTGGATATTTAGATTGTTTTCACTTTTTGGTGATTTTGAATGTTCTATGAACACTTGTGTTCAGGTTTTGTGTGGAAAGAAGTCTTCAGTTCTCTTGAGTATATATACCTCGGAGCGGAATTGCTGGGCCAAATGTTCGCTCTGTTTTTAACACCCAAACCCTGGCAAACAGGCTTTCACAGCAGCCGCACAGTCGGCATTCTGAGCAGCAGTACGAGGGCCTGGCTTCTCCCCCGCCTCCCAGCACCTGTCTGTCTGTCTGTCTGTCTGTCTGATGAGAGCGATCTGCTGATGTCAAGTGGCAGCTTTTTCATATTTATTCTTAGTGGGTTTAGGTGAAAAAGAAAGCTGTGTTTGATCATGTACAAGTACCTCAATTTTTTGTTGTTGTTGTGGTAATATATACATCACATAAAATTTACCATGCTAATGATTTTACGTGTGCAGTTGGTGGAGTTCAGTATATGTTCACAGTGTGCAACCATCACCACTGTCCATTTCCAGTACTTTCTCGTCATCTTCCAGACACTCTTTGCCCATTGACAACAGGGCTTTGAGCACCAGCTCCTGGGAACTCCCACTCATCTGTCTGTCTCTGTTGAAGGGATTCCAGGTGCCTCTCAGAAGTGGATTGATACAGTGTTTGTCCTGTGTCTGCCCCGCAAGAAGTAGATTGATACAGTGTTTGTCCTGTGTCTGCTCCTCAGAAGTGGATTGATACAGTGTTTGTCCTGTGTCTGCTCCTCAGAAGTGGATTGATACAGTGTTTGTCCTGTGTCTGCTCATTGCACTGAGCGTGAGGTCTTCAAGGTTCATCCAGGTTGTATGCATAAGAATCTTATCCCTATTGACGCAGATTCTTTTTTTTTCTTTATCTTCACCTGAGGATATGTTTATTGATTTTAGAGAGAGAGGAAGGGGGAGAGAGAGAGAAAGTTCGGGGGGTGGGAAGAGAAGGAGAGAGAAATATTGATCGGTTGCCTCCGCATGTGCCCAGACTGGGAATCAAACTTGCAACTGTTTGGGTGTACAATCACTGAGCCACCTGGCCAGGGCTCAGATTCTTTTTGTAAGCAGATCCGGTATACTATTAAATACTAAAATAATTTAAAAATGTGCCTCAAACCCCAGGATGCTCTGTGCTTTGGCTTTAAGACTGTGGGTCAGCTTCTCGGGGAGAGGCATGCCCCCTCCCACGCCCTTGCATGGGGTGGAATGCGGTAAAGGCAGAAGACACTTTTCCAGAAACTTGCCAGTGTAGATTTTCCTTACAGCGGTGCTGAAGACTTGCTGTTCGGTGGGGGTGTTCGGTGGGGCTTCCTTGTAGGAAAACACTCCCAGGGGAGACCGTTCGCCCTTCCTAGTGTTTCTACACCAGGAATGACCCCTTGATCAAAGAGTGCAGGTCGCTTTTGTGTAGGGAGCTGAGTCTGCGTGTAAGTACCAGCTGACTTTGTTTTTTTTGTTTAACCCAGAATCACACTCCCATTTTATCGCATCGATTTTCCGAGTAATGGTACCCTGACCTGTTGTTTATAAACTATGACTGTCTTAAGACATGTTTGTCCAGCACACGTGTTTGGCAAAGTCTATATAATTGGGATGGGCTTCCTTCTTTCTTCATAAAAAAGTTACTGAGTGAATGCCATTGACTTCTGACTTGTTTATGCAGTTTTCCTAAACAGACAGAAGAAATGAACCGCATTCCCTTGCCTTCTCAGATTAAAACTCTGGAGCAGACCAAAGCCATCGAAGACCTCAGTCAATGCAGAGACAGGCTGGAGAAGATGAAGGAGGAAGCTGAGAAAAAGCTCGTGTCTGTCAGGTCAGAACTGGACATGACGGCGCACAAAGCCAAAGAGGACAAGGAGAGAGCCAGGAACACCATGGACGTCGTAACCAGCGAAAGGAAAACACTCAAGAAATCTCTTGAAGAAGCAGAAAAGAGAGAAAAGCAGGTGAGTAGAAACCCGGCGATGACACCTTCTTGCTGAGGAGAGAGGACAATTCCAAAGCTTGATCATTGCTCACACATTTCTTTGTGGACAATTCACAGACCTTCCTCTGTCATTTCTCTGCCTGCTGTCTAGTATCTTCTGGGCATTAAAAAAAAAAACATGATGATTTATTCCGCTAAGAAAAATAATTCCCATTTTCATGGCACGCATCGTAGGAAAGAAAAAGACATTCTTATCGAAGTGACGGTAAGCCTGTGAAAAGCCAGGTCTGGCTGTGGAGAGGTTTTTACGAGGTTTGCTGATTGCCTCCAAGGGTTGCATCATCCCACGTCTTCTGACGGTTACCAGGGCTTCAGCCTTGGGAGGTCAGGACAAACCTCATCTCCAGCACAGAGCAGTTGCAGGAAATAGCCCCACGTCTCAAACGGTGGCACCCAGACTTGGTGGCCGACCAAACCCAGATGGGAACCATAAAGCAGCCCTCACGCACGCTGGTCCAAGGGGGAGAGTGTTATCTGGCGAGCTCATCAGGTCAGGCAGAAAGAAGCGTGTCCCGGGCAGCCTGACCCCCGTTGCTCTTGGCTTTCATCTCGCTCCCTGTCCGATGCTCCAAGGGCTCCGAGTGGACTCTGATCCTAGGATATTTTTTCTCTTTGGCTGCCTCTGCTCTGGCTCATGTGTCAGGCAGACTCGAGGAAGGCCAAATGCCGAGTGAGTATTCCCAGAGGGAAGCTACTCCAGAATTAAGAGCTCTGGCCACATTCGAAAGGATGCGGAACTTTGAGGAAAGCTTTTTCATCAGGGAGACGGGGCTGGAGAAAGCGTGACATTTCCCAAGTGGACTCCGTGTAGGAAGAAGGTTGGGAAGCAGATGAGCCCATGGTGGGATTGTTTAGGAGGCAGTTCTGGGTGTAAGATCTGTCTTCAGGTTAGATCACACCTCTTCTAAAACGGAAGGCACCTCTAGCGAGGTGTCGCTCAGATATCCCTGATTTGTCTGCTTTTGCTCCAGTCTAGGAGAATTCAGAGGAGTGTGAGGCACGTTTCAACCATATTTCCAGTGCTCATCCCTCACCCTCCTTGGTGTGTGTGTGTGTGTGTGTGTGTGTGCACGCTCAATGGACTCATAGTGCTCCCAGAGAGGCCGATGTTATGGGTTGAGAGGTGGCGATCTGTCTGATGTGACCTGAGCATCATTTAGAAGCCCTCCTGTTTTCATTAGCTCATACTTATCATTTGTTCTTCCTTTCGTGTAAGAGGTTCGGTGCCCAGTTAACATTCTAGCACATAAGCACTTTTCACCTATGGGCACCACCACACCAACCTTCGTAAAGCACTTTCTCGTGTGCAGAGCCCTTACACAGCCATCATTTCATTAGGTCCCAATTTCAGAACAGCTCCGGGAGGTAGGTCTATTTTTATATCCACCCTGGAAGTGAGAAAATGAAATCTTATGGAGGTCAGAGTCTTGTTCCCAGTTGCTTAATTGGGATTTTTGACTTGGCAGCCACTACCACATTGATTGGCTCATCGGAACAGTGGTTATGAAATCGCTGGAGGTTGGTGCCTGGAAGGACTTTGGAGTTAATGTAGAAGGCTAGCCTTTCTTACTTTATAAATGAGGGAACTAAGGTTAGCGAGAGGACGTGACCTACCTGCCTCATGCACACCTGGGTTTCCCATGTTGTTGCTGTTGCATTTGGCTCAACAGTAGCTGATACATTTGCTCTCTCCGCTAATGTGTTTCTGTTTGCTATTCCAGCTGGTGGACTTTAGGGAGGTGGTTTCACAGATGCTGGGCTTGAACGTGACCAGCCTGGCTCTTCCTGACTATGAAATCATCAAATGTCTCGAAAGACTGATCCATTCTCATCGGCATCACTTTGTCACCTGTGCCTGCCTCAGAGATGTGACGGCCAGGCAAGACAGGCACCTGCAAAGTCGCTTGAAACTTCTCCGTTGAACACCGTATCTCTTGAGGGATATGGAGCTAAGGGATGGGACCATTTAACAAATTCTCCAAACCTTTGAAATTTGGTCAGTAGGTGAATATTGTATACTTTGGTAATAGGGCAAGAATCCATCACTGGCAACAAAGAATCTCAAAGGCAGATAAATGTTCGATACTAAAAACACCTGTCATTTCATTTGCTAGCACTTTGGGACCCAGACGAATTCCACTAGATTGCATGTCTAGAATGAGAAATGTCAGCAAGGAATGAACATTTATTGGGTATCTATTGTGAGTCAGGGGCTTTCCTACCCAATTTGATTCTCCCAATAACCACATGGAGAAGCTTTAATGTTTTTGTTTATTTTATTTTTTAATCCTCACCCGAGGATATTTTTTTCAGATATCTTCAGATAGAGTGGGGGTTAGGGAGAGGGACAGAGAGTTACAGAGACAGAGAGACACATCGATTGGCTGCTTCCCGCATGACCCCCACCAGGACTGGGGACCAAACTGCAACTGAGGTACGTGCCTTTGACCAGAATTGAACCCATGACTCTTTGTCTGCAGGCTGACACTCTAACTGCTAAGCCAAACTGGTCAAGACTTTAATGTTTTTATTTTACACCCTCTCTGGGGCTCAGAGAGGGTGTTACCTACCCAGGAATGCAGTTGTTCGGTGACTGAGCCCGGAGGTACAGCAAACTGACTCTGTATCAAAGGCTGTGTCTCCTTTGCTACTCCACCATCCTCCAGCTTCTCCTGGCTCCCCGTGTTTCGGGTGAAAATTGCCGGCATAAAGGAAGGAAAGCATCCATGCAGTCAAGAACCGAAGTCCAAAAGTAGTTGAGATTTATGAGTGTAACCTATATGATTTCTTTAAAAAGTAATACACCTAATTATTTGGATAAAACATGCAGTCTGAGGTCCTATAAGAAACATGTGTGTTTTATTTTATTTTTTTATCCTCACCCGAGGACATTTTTCTATTTTTTGTTCAGATAGAGTGGGAGGGAGAGAGAGGAACAGAGAGAGAGAGAAACATCGATGTGAAAGGGACACATCGAGTGGCTGCCACCCGCACGACCGACCAGGGCCAGGGACAAACTGCAACCGAGGTACATGCCCTTAGCGGGAACCGAACCCGGGTCTCTCAGGACCGCAGGCCGATGCTCTAACCGCTGAGCCAAACCGGCCAGGGCAACATGTGTGTTTTAAAATGTTGCCGCCAGATCGCATTTGGTGGTCATTTTTAAGGTCTGAACGGGGCTGATCTCAGTACTTGAAAATGGAGCCACTGCATGAACCTGTGAGCCAAAGACCGCCTACGCAGTTGTATTCACCAAAGTAGCACACGAGTCACAGCAAGTGCACTTTCAGAATCAGGATTTTATGATGGTAAAATCTCTCACTTGCTGCCTTCCTTCTAAATGTCCATGTCACAGAGATTTTTCAGGAAGTCATATTTTTAATTTCAAAGAGAAAAACGTGTTCTTCTTTTGGGCAATTATCTTATTTCTGCCATGTGAAAAATTTTTTTCAGTCCCCGTAAAAAGCATTGGTGTCTGATTAAAGGAGAGGGAAATACAGATGACAACTAAATATTAAGAGAAAATGGAAAGTCTAGATGAGAGGAAGTGAGTGTGACCCTTGCAGGTTGGATGACAGGCCACACAGAGGGAGAGCGACTCAGGATCGCCACAGGGGGTGGGTCACCTCTGCTGACAACTAAGGAAACACGCCTGCCCAGCCCAGCCAGAGACACGAGCTAGGTCTGCCACAGGCAGGAGAGGCAGCCTCGGATTCCCCGGGGAAGGTCTGGCGTCTCTGGAGGTCCCCTCACCGGCTCCAAATGCAGCGGCTGCCGCTGTGGACCGGTCGGGAGGCCGTGACGCCCCCTTCGGCTCTCTGGAGGATGGAGCTGCTGAGAGGCTCCGTGTTGCCAAGACCAGAGAAAGCAGTCATGCGGGGTGGGGGCAGGGTCTGAGGGTGGGAAGATGGTTTCTGTACGTTCTCCAAATAGTCTTTAATAAACCGTTTATTTTCTCTGGAAATTTATTTTCCACACTATTCAAGAATACATTTAAAGATGTAAGCGGTTATAATTTTATTTTTCCACTTTTGACTTATATCATAAATTATGTTTCTAGATAAACAGGAGACTAAAAATGGTCCATAGTTATTAGTACTGTACTTTCTCTTTATCCTACAAAATCACATGCCATTTATCCGAATATATGTTTATATAATATTCCCAGTGTATGACTCGAATGTATAGGCAATAATCTTTAACACGTATAGAAATATTAAAAATGTCTGAACACAGTCCTCAGAGATTTCGGGTCGGAAGAGTACAGGGGATAAGAAAAATAAATTCTGTCCATGTATATAATCCACGTGCGCTTAGCCACCTGTCCTCTGCGCAGAGTGAAAGCCGTTTCCCTCCGTTAAGCTGCCTGCTCGGCTGGCCTTGCCTCCGGGCCTCTGCCAGGGTCGCCAGGCCAGCTTCCCACTCTTGTCTGCCTCTGTTCTGCCATCATATTCATGCACATTTTATGTTGTCCAATAAAATGCATTAGGTTGATGCGACTTTTCTAAACAGAGTTTTAAAATATTTAACACGAACTTATCTGCCAAATACACTCGAGTGATAATTGCTACTGCGGTTATTATTTTGGTCATTGTCTGAGACATTTAAATAATTGCATAATTATTAAGTTAGGGCCAAAAGTTAAACCTGACTTATCTAAATGTCTTATTTTACCTTATAGTCTGTCTTATAGATGAATAGGGAGTGATTCAGGGTCAGGAATGGGGGCCTGAAAATGGGGGTGTCTATATTACTGAGGTTGCAATAATACGAAGGACTTAGAGACAGAGACTAATTTTCACCGGGGAAACATTTCATGGTTACAGAAACTTTGACCAGGAAGTCTGTCTACTTTATGCAGCAGCGATTTTATGCACATTATTACACATTCCACTTTTCATCAGCAAGAGAGGTCTGTATGCTTCTCTTTCCTCTCCACAGTTTCCGTACTATTGTTCCTCTGCCTTTGTATAAAAACCTTCATACTTTTAGGTTCCTGCTAACTGATATGTATCTTTCTTCTGGTCCTCATTGGCCTTACCTGTTACAAATGGCTCATAGATGTCGTCTCCACCCCCATTAAGTACTGCCTTCATTTTGGGTGACTTTAATGACTATAAATCAAACTCATGTAACACTATCTTTTTCCCTCCCTCCCTCCCTCCCTCTCTCCCTCCCTCCCTTCTTCCTCTCTCTCTCTCTCTCTCTCTCTCTCATCCTCACCCGAGGACATTTTTACATTAATCCTCAGATAAAGCTGGAGGGAGAGAGGGAGGGAGAGAGAGAGAGAGAGAGAGAGAGAGAGAGAGAGAGAGAGAGAGAGAAACATTGACGTGAGAGAGACATATCAATTGGTTGCCACCTGCAAAACCCAACCGGGGCCGGGGATGAACCACAATCAAGGTATGTGCCCTTGGCTGGAATCGAACCTGGGACTTTTTGGTCCGAGGGCAACACTCTTACCGCTGAGCCATACCGGCCAGGGCAACATTTTATCTTTAGTTTTTTGGCCTTCTAAGCTCTCATACATTACTGTCCTTATATCTAGATTGCAATTTACAGAAATCCAATTTAAACTACCCTAAGCCAAAGAGAAGTTGGGGTCATTTGAAAGATCCAGGCTAGCTTCAGCAAGGCTAGATCAAAATTCAAAATTCTCTGCATTATTTTCGCTTCTGCCCGTCTTTCACCTCTGCTTGATTGGCTGTCTTTGCATGTGGTCTCACTTTCTCCTGTGCCAGTGGGTCCTCCATGCTGCCAGGGAAGATGGTCACAAGCAGCTACTCAGTCTTTCCAACTCATGAGCTGAGAAAAAGAGAGACTCTGCCTCCCACACCCACGGGAGAGATCTCAGAGAAGATTCTGATCTCTTCTTGGTCATCTAGCCAAGCCTGAACCAAGCACTGAAGGTAGCCGAGGGATGAACTCACTGGTCTGCATCCCATGCCAACCCTTGTAGTAGTGACAGTGAGGCTCCAGGATGAGCCGTTCAACCAGAACCACACATACGACAGACAGACATTTCCCCAAAGGAAGAGAAGCTGGACAGACACACAACACGCATCTGTGGTCAAATTCAGAATCTTCTAGTCACCAAGGACTTCTCTACCTCTACAGTTTTAATCTCTTATCATCCCAGATCTCTTTCCTTACTCCCAAGTAGCTATTTTTTGAGATCCCTTGGTCCTCTCCTTTTGTCCCTATGAGCCCTGCCAACTGCCCTCCATGGGCAGCCCATGTGCACATTACGGTTCATTTCTTCACTCATTTCCTTCCCGATGCTTGTTCCCGTGCCCGTCTCTCCTCGAGTTTGAATTCATCCCAACTGCCAATATTTCTGCTGCTTTTCCTGCCCCACAGAGTGAGACGGGAGAAAATCCCATAAAATCACAGGTAAGTTTCACACCAGACGCGTGGCCTCTGGTCTCAGTGGGCCCCCGCACTACATGGTAGGTAGTCCTGCGCTATTCTCCCCGAGGGGTCTCACCGCCATTTCCCCAAGTGGCTGTGTTCTTCTCTGCCTCCAGGCTCTTCCCCTGTCTCTGTCCTCTTTATTGTCAGCAGAAAATCTCATCTCCTATTTCACTCAGAAAATAGAAGCCATTACAGGAAATCCCTTTAATGTCAGATCCTAATACAGCCTGACAGGCGTTCACACCCAGCCTCGCTGTGTTCCCTGGTGCTGTCTCAGATGATCCATCTCCCTGCTTCTGCCCGGCCACGTGCGTCCTCAGCGGCTTCGTTCCACCCGTAGTTTTCCGCTCTCTCAAATATTTTCAACCTCGCCTTCGTAAATGGCTTATTTCCACGTGCATTTAAATATGTTCATTGAAACCTAAATGATTTTATTAACCAATGCCACCCCAATAAATTGGATTAAATGTGTTTAAATCTCTCTCACTTAAAAAAAAAAATCACTCCTTCTACTCCACAACACAGGCCACGAAGAGCAGCGGTTCTCAACCTGTGGGTCGCGATCCCTTTGGGAGTCGAACAACCCTTTCACAGGGGTCGCCTAAGACATAACACCAGCAAAATTACAGGTATGAAGTAGCAACGGAGATAATTTTATGGTTGGGGGTCACCACAACACGAGGGACTGTATTAAAGGGTCGCGGCATCAGGAAGGTTGAGAACCACTGGCTGAGAGCCTGTCTCTCTGTCTTCACAGCTGAACCTCTTGAGAGTACGGTTTCTGTTGCTGTGTTTCTGGTCTTACCTCCCATTTATTCCGGCAGTTACTACAACCTGGCTTTGGTCTCCACACGCCCAGCTCTCACACTTTTGTTAGTAAATCCTCGTTACTTTTAAAGTGCTCGTTCACCTGATCTTTCTG